ATCGGATGGCGGTGCGGCAAGCGCGCGCGTAGAGTCCGCGCACGTTCCAAATGAGGCTTTTGGGGTTGTGATCCATTGGAAAGAGGTTGATGTCCTGGCGCGTGACGCAACCATGCCTCGATGGGTCTGCCTGCGACCACCGTGGTGTCGTCGCGATGGTGGGATTCGTGGGGAGCTCGCGATCAACTAACGCAGCAATGCCGAAAGGACGGACAAGGGAATGGTCACTGTGAAGAGACCTTCATACGCCTGCATCTCCGCCGCCATGATCTTCTAGTCAACCTCACGATGCCAAGGGTACGCAGAATGTGGATTTGGGCGCGCCTCTCGGCCGTCGGCGGGGCGGACGTCTTGCCAGTGGTAGACGTGGCCAATCGCCCACGCCGAGGGGTGAAGTTGGGCGGGAACCGTCGTTGTCGCCCGCCAGGGATTGGCAGGGCGGCATCTATCTGCTTGGTGGTGGCGGCGAGGAAGTCACCTAGGGTCCACGCCGTTGGTGGCATCGAGCGCGGTCGAGAGCGGCGCATGGTGCTCGGGGGCAACGCGAAGCGCGTTGGTGGGCTCGGGGTGCAGGCAGATCCTGCAATGTCGTTCAGGGCCTCATGTTGGGCTTCTTGCTGGGCTTCAAGCTGGGCAGCGTGATGGGCCTTGGTGGCTTGCTGGGCCGGAGCAACGTCCGGGGTGGATTTCGTGCGCGGCACGCCGCGCGCGGGTGCTTCTGGAAGCTCCTGGCAGGCTCAGCTGGCTGCACGGGACGCGCCGTTGGGCGGTTCGTGCTGGGCTCCAACGCCAACAGGGTCTCCGTGGACCGGTCTGCTGTGGGCGCAGCGCCAGTAGCGAGTGGCAGTGACAAAGCACCAGAATGCCCCAACAGCGGATCGGTCATTACCACCAAAGGTTGGGAGTCGGGGACCTCACTGGCAAGGGAGGCTCAATTGGCTGCAAGGGACGCGCTGTTGGGCACGTCGTGGTGGGCTCCAGCGCCAGCAGGGTCTCCGTGGACTGGTCTGCTGTGGGCGCAGCGCCAGTAGCGAGTGGCAGCGACAAAGCACCAGAATGCCCCAACAACAGATCGGTCATTACCACCAAAGGTTGGGAGTCAGGGACCTCACTGGCAAGGGATTGGCTGACCGGGTCGTTGTCCCGATCTCCATGCATGCCAGGGCGATCCTCGCCTGGCTTGGTCGTGTTGCTGGCAGGCCCTTGGGAGCAGGTGGGTGCTAACAGCCTCCGTCTGGCTGGGGAGGGTCACGGCAAATGGGCGGGTCCAACTGTTGCCGGGTCATGCACACCAGGACAAGAAGGCGAAGCAGCCGCAGAAGATGCAACTTTTGCACATCGGGCCTCCTCTGTCAATCTCTTTCTCTTTCCGCCGTGCTTTCCCCTTTTGGAAAAGCGACAGGAACTACGGGGGCCACCAGCGGTGGGCCAAGGGTCCATCGTGCGACCGGTGGTTTGTCTCGTCGGCAGCGCAGCTGCTGCAACCGTACGGAGACAAGAGTTGGGCCAGCTAGCATCGATGCCAACACCATCAGCGTGGGCACGATGGTGGAACAAACACCAGCCCTCGGAGTAGATGGTCATGCCATCCGCGCGGCCGTCGGGAGCATTCGTAGTGCGGCGGCGATTGCGCCCGCGTAGGCGACCACGATTGCCCCCATCGCCATGCCCAGCATCCCTACCACCAGGTGCACCATCACGCAGGCCGTGGTCACCGTTGGTGGCCAGGCGGGCCGCTCAGCCGCAATGGCGGTGGCGAGCATGATGGACATAGGGTACTAGAGGGTGCGGGTGGTCAGTGGCATGGAGCAGATGCGTGCAGGGACGGATTCCACGATCTCGAGGATGGCCGCCTGTGAATGCTCGCAAGGTCGCGAGAGCACGCAATCACCCGGAGGGTGGCGAGGTCAGCGCAGGAGCGCGTGCTCGGGTGGAGCTGCTCGATCCAGCAGCTGCTGCCTAGTAGGTGTCCAGCCATGGAAAAGTACCAAGCTTGTGTCAGGATGCCACATAGCTCGAGCTGCATAGAGTAGTCGAGGGAGCCGACATCGGCACGGGCGAGCTTGTTCCAGGGGCGGAGCACGAGGGTGAAGCTGGGCCCGTTGATGAAGTGATAGCCGGCGAGGCAGTCCATGAGCACTCGGGTGGTGAAGACGAGGAAATCCTCCGGGTGGTATGCATGGATTGTGAAGTCTCTGGGGTGGAGGTAGAGTGAGGAATACATGACATCCTTGACATCTCGAGCGGCAATCACCGGTCTGTCTCCGCTGATGGAAACCACCATTCCACGTCGCAGCACCATCTCAGCCTCTTCCATCTCCACATAGTGCGAAAGGATGACGCGCACAAGGTCATGGCCTGCGGGCAGGGACGGCGGCGCGACTCCGCCTGGGCTGCGGCGGCCAAGGTGGCAGCGGCGGCGGGGGGAGCGCGCAGCATGCCGCGGTGGTACTTGGTGTAGTCACGCGAGCTGTGTCCAGGATAAAGACAGCGGTGGCACTGGACGTTGTTGGTGCATTCCCGCACGGGGTGGCTGGGCTCAAGGCAGCGGAAGCACAGGCCGAGGGCCGCCTCCGGAGACGGGATGCGACAGCGGTGCTGGAGGGGACCCATGGCGGTCGCGCGCCGCACACCCTGGCGGCAGTTCTTGCGGCAGGGCATCTGGAAGCTGTCTGCGTCGACTTCCCCGCCGCCATTGACGCGGTTGACCTCGCTGCGAGTGGCCACGGTGGCGCGGCGGGGCCGCACGTCGCCGGAGGGGTACG